CTTAAATCATTTCAAAGCTTTAAATACAAGCTCAAATGAGCTAACTCTTACAAAAACATGATGAATTCATGGTCTACTCTCAAAATATAGACATGTAAGTGAGGAATGGTGAATTACAACCTCAAAACTTATCAATATGCACATGCATGCAACAATTGAGCTCTAATTCAACAATTTGAGCCATATGTTGGCTCTAGACTTTAACTTTGCTCAAAACCATGCAAGAACAAGCTTAAACACAACAATGAGAGGTTGAATTCTCTTACCTAAGTCTCCAATACAAGGTGAGGAAGCTTAATTTGCAACCTATATTCCAATTCTTCAAGCCAAAGCACAAAATCAAGTTGAATTCACTCCAAACCTCTCACTCTCCTCTTTTGGTCGGTTGTGATGTTCAATTGTGGCTGACGAAATGTTGCCTAAGTATATAATAAGGCTCAAATATGGTTCATCTAGTGGGCCACTAGTGTGGTGTTTTGGTAATTAAGCCAAACTATGCAATTTATCAATATTTAATCTAATTTAATCATACCAAATCAGTTTTCAGATAAATATACCATAAAATCCTATAAATCCTAACGAACACAAAACATTAATCAATTTCAGATATGGCCGCCGATAAGGCCTTCAATTTGTAGTTTAAACATAAAAACACGAACAGATCAATTAACAATCAACAGATAGAAAATGCATTTAAACAGATACAGTTAATCAATCAGTTTCAGATTTCAGTCAATCAGTTCAGTATTTCAATTACTTCAATTATCAATCATAATCAGTCTCAGTTTAGCAGTAATCGGTAGTTTATCGATAAACAGTGACGAGGGTTGTTACATTTTGGCTGACTGATGAATTAGTGGAGCAAACCTCTGGCATTTATCGCACTCCTGAACGTACTGCTGTATGTCTTGTTGCATCTGTGGCCACCAGTACCCATGAGTGAGGGCTCGGTGCGCTAGTGACCTTCCACCAACGTGGCATCCACAAATCCCTTCATGAATTTCATAGAGAACATTTTCGACCAGATTTGGATGCACACATAAAAGATAAGGACCGAGATAAGAACGTCTGTATAGCTTCCCCGATGGTGAGACCCAGAACTAAGCTGACCTGTGTCGGATTTTGTTAGCTTCCTTTTTATCTTCAGGGAGAGTGCCAGATTTCAGAAAAGCAAGTATCGGATCCATCCAGCTTGGCTCTAGGTTGCTGCAAAGGACTGGAGATGCAATGCTTGGTTCTGGCACGAACTCAACCTAAACTTTTCTAGTGTCTTTAGTATCTACTGATGAGCTGAGGCAGGCCAGAGCATCAGCATGCTGTTTTTGTCCCGACTGATTCGTTCTACTCGTATGGATCGAAATTTTTTGAGCAGATCCTTGGCCTTGCCTGCATACATAGCCATTCTTTCGTCTCGTGCTTCATAAATCCCAGAAAGTTGGTTTACCACCAATTGAGAATCGCTAAAAACAAGAAGTTGCTCTGCACTGAAGTGTTCAGCACTGCGTAAGCCAGCCAACAGTGCTTCATTTTCCGTCTTATTATTAGAAGCCTTCCAGCCGAGCCTTAGAGCTTGCTCCCAAATAAACCCTTCTGGTGACATAAGTACCACCCCTGCTCCCGAACCTCGGTTATTGGATGATCCGTCGACATAAAGTTACCAGATGTTTCCAACAAAGAGTTTCCATGCCTCTGAAGTGCATTGTTTTCCTAGTTCGATGGTGCGTGGCGCCTATACCGAACTAGAGTTTTGAGGCTCGGTACTTTGGGTGGGAGCGAATTCTGCGACGAAGTCTGCCAAGACCTGGGCTTTAATTGCTGTCCTGGGCTGATATCGAATATCAAACTCACCAAGCTCTACCGCCCATTTTGCTGTTCGGCCAGAGAAATCAGCTCGACTGAAGACAGATCTGAGGGAAAATTCAGTGAGGACATTGATAGTATGCTCTTGGAAGTAATGTTGCAACTTTCTTGAGGCAATAAGCAATGCGTAAGCTAACTTTTCCAAGGGTAGATACCTTGTCTCGGCATCTAGTAGAGTCTTGCTAACATCGTATACTGGCCTCTGTTCTTTGTTAGCTTCTTGAATCAATACCGCGCTTACGGCGTGGTCTGAGATTGCCAGATATAAGTACAGTTCTTTTCCTGGTTCTGGAGTGGATAAAAAACGTGGTGTACTGAGGTATCTTTTGAGACTTTGTAATGTTTCGGTACACTCAGGACTCCATTCAAATGTTGCCTTTTTTCTCAGTAGCTGGAAAAAGGGCTTCATCCGATCTGAAGACTTACTGATGAACCGATTCAGGGCGGCCGCCATTCCGGCCAACTTCTGTAGCTCTTTAGCCTTTGTTGGTACTCCAAGCTCTTGTATTGCTTTGATTTGGTCCGGATTTGCCTCGATTCCTCTGTGAGTGACCATGTACCCCAAGAACTTCCCTATTCCTACCCCGAAAGCGCATTTCGAGGCATTAAGGCGAAGCTGATGGTTTTTCAGGATATCAAAAACTTCTCTTAAGTCTGTAAGGTGGTTTGTAGCGAGCTTGCTTTTTACTACCATATCATTTATATAAACTTCCATGGTTTTTCCAAGTTGGTCCTTGAACATTTGAGTGATCATTCGCTGGTAGGTTGCCCCGGCGTTCTTGAGGCCGAACGGCATTACTTTGTAACAATAAGTGCCCCTTGGAGTGATAAACGTTGTCTTCTCCTGATCTGGGCTAAACAGTGATATCTAGTGATAACCGCTATAAGCATCCAGAAAGCTCATACGCTCATGACCTGCTGTTGAATCCACTAGTTGATCGATGCAAGGTAGAGGAAAACTGTCCTTGGGACAAGCTCTGTTCAAGTAGGTGAAGTCAACACAGACTCTTCATTTTTCGTTCTTCTTTTTTACTACAACTGTGTTAGATAACCATTGTGGGTATTGAACTTCTCTGATCGCTCCTGATGCTAGGAGCTTTTCGACTTCAGCAATTACCGCTTCAGTATACTCAACTGAGGATCTCCGACTTTTCTGCACGACAGCCCGAGCGGAGGGATTGATGTTGAGTTTGTGGCAAGCAAATTTTGGGTTCAACCCTGGAGTATCATATACTGACCAAGAGAATACCTCCATATTTTCCCGCGGCAGTTCCAGCAACTGAAGTTTCTCATCAGCGCCTAGCGAGGTACTGATAAGGAAGTACTTTTCTGGATCATCCTCCTTTACCAGGACTTTCTCCAAATCCCCTACAATCTTTTCCTTTGGAGCTCCCCCAACATCTTCCAAGACTGGTTGTTCGGCCACTTCTACTATCTAAACTCGGTTACAAAGTTGCTTAGCCTTCAATGCCGCCATGAAGCAATGCTTGGACGCAACTTGATTCTCTAAGATCTGCTCTACTCCATGTTTTGTTGGGAAACGGATGAGCTGGTGGTAGGTTAAAGGGACCGCCTCTATTTGGTGAATCCATGGACAACCAAGTATGGCGTTGTAAGGGGAAGGTGTATTAATAACTAAGAACTCTATCTGGAGGGTCTTCGTTCCTACCACAACCGACAACACTATTCTGCCAAGTGGCCACTCTGGCAGTGAATTGAAGTCGACTAATAGAGCTGTAGCTAGGGTAAGGTGCTGCTTAGAAAGACCGAGCTTTCTGAACAAGTCATAATACAATATGTCTGCTGCACTGCCTTGATCCACCAGGACTCGTTTTATGTCAAACCATTTCCCAATTCCCACAGTTATAATCAGTGCATCAGTATGTGGGTGTTGTATGCCTTCTAAATCCTTTCTAGTAAACGAAACAGTGCACAAGGGGGATTTAGGTACCGTTCGTACCTTTTTCGACGCGGGCTCTACTGACATGACCTGCTAAATTTGCACAGCCTTAGCAATCTCTTCTTTCAGTGCCTCTTCACGCTCCTGGGTCGCTGTTCCATGGATCACATTTATTATCAGTCGAGGTGGGAGTTCGATGATCGGTTCCGGTGGTGGATTCCCCTATTCAGCCGCTACTTTATCCTGATCAATGTAGTCTCGGAGGTGTCCAGCTACTGCTAGATCTTCCAGGTATTGCTTCAGTGCTCTGCAGTTCTGAGTCATATGCCCCCTGTCTTGGTGATAGGTGCATCTGAGCTTCTGATTATGCTGAGCTAGATCTCCCAACATTTTCTGCGGCCAAACAAAGAAGGGCTCTCTTTTGATCTTTTCCAAGATACGATAGATTGGTTCTTGAGTACGGTCACGACTACTTCGTGAGATTTAGACTTGTCCACCTCATTCACTGTGAGTCCCCGGTGTTCCCCTCGGTCCGTTCTCTTCTTATGCCGAGCTGTTTGTTCTGCTGATGCTACCTCGATGAGGATCTAGTCATCTTCGAGGTGAGCGTACTGCTCAATCCTAGCACACAAATCTTTCAGTGTTGTGGCCAGGCACTTAGTAAGTAACTGTCTTAACTTACTTTCCGGGCGCAGGCCATGTTTGAAAGACATAACAGCCATCTGCTCACTGTAAATGGTTTCATCTAAGTCATTGTACTCTTTTCAATACCTCTAGCATAATTACGCAGCGTTTCTTCCTATTCCTTTCAGAGACCGAACAGTGTATCCGGCTCTTTCGGGATCTTAGTATTGGAGATGAACCTAGCTAAGAACTCTTCAAAGAGTTGCTTCCAGTCATAAATTGATCCAGCGGGGAGTTGATCGAACCATCGGAGTCCGGATTCTCCCAAGCTGGATGGGAAGACTTTACACATCAGTGCTTCGTCTTGGCTCCATAAGGACATCATCTATCTATAATGGCTGATGTGCATCAACAGGTCTGACTTCCCATCGTATGACGTGACCTTTGGCGGGGTGAATTTCTTGGAAGGTTTCATGGCCTCGATTTTCGGGGAGAATGGAGAGGAGACTAGCCTATCCAACGCTCGGTGCTCTCTCTGGTGGATGGTATGGTCCAGATGATCTCGACGTTGCTCATTCTGCTTGTTGCCAATTAGCCAAGTACGAAGGTCTTGAGGATGGTACTCAGTCTGCTGGCTTACCGTCTTCTACCTCTTAGCCCTCCTCCGGCGAGACCCACGGGTGTAGCTATTCGCCGCCTCACACCGGGATTGGCTGGCTCTGTTGCCCAGATTCGTTTATGGGGATCTTCTTCACCGGTGGTTCTCTGGACGAGCTTCTCTGTCGCAGGCGAGAGGGCTCTGCGTCAGTCTTCTTCTCCATCGGATCGCCCAGCACCCTTTTAAGCTACGTTTTCAGCTCCTGTATCTCCATCTCCATGGAGTCTATGATTCAATCTCTGTAATCCTTTTCTAGAAGAAAGTGATAAGAAGAACCTCCAGCGAAGGGCAATCGATACTCAACAGATTTGGGGGTCCGATTATTGTTCCCGGATTGTTCTTCTAAGATGTTGGGAGTGCCAAGCCTTTGTCCTTTGTCTTCTCCGTTCGTGGAGCATGTGCCGAATATGGGATGTCCTCAATCCCTATCGCGGGAACTGAGTGCAGAGCTCAGAGACAAAGCGTCCACACTCACCGCACCAATTGTGCGTATCGAATACCACACTAGATGACTGTAGATCGGAGCTTCACACTTGGTTGGACTATCCGAGAATTGAGGTCCTGCAACAAGGAGCACCGTCAGAGCTGCCCGACCGGGGTTGGCCGGATAACCCCTCTGGTGTGGGAATGAGTAATCGGGAAGAAGAAAGATGCTCTCTCTAAGTGTAAAGTGTTTTAGTGAGTAACATTTAGCTTAGATCAGTTCAGTTACCTTCAATGTGAAGTTAGTGTGGTTTATATAGAACTCCTTGCTTGTTGCCCATCATGATTTCATGGAACTCTGGTGCTGCCAAGTTTCCTTTTTATCATTGCCCAAGGTGGGGGACCATCTGTTAGTTATCAAAGGGTGCATATACTCATTGTGATCATGCCGATAACAAACCACATTCTTTTGGTTTAACTGTTTTCATGATTCTAGGTGTAGGGACCAGCTGAGGTGGTAACTTGCACATGCATATACTCACAACTTTCACGTTTCTCTAAGAGGCTTCCTCAGCTTGGAACCATTGTGTCTTAGCTCGACCCTTTGAGAGACTATTGTAGGGATGGGCTAGCCCATTCGGATGTCTGTGTATGGACTCGGCCCACTTTGGTTCTGGTGCCCATAGAATGAGTCATGGAGCTTGGCCCTAGCCCAGTATCGCAGCTAGTCTGGCCTTTCCACTACGAGTTGGGCTTAGTTGGGTTGCCCACATGCCCAATTGACCCCTTTGGGTTTGGGCTTAGGAGATTGAACCGGCCCAAGGCTTGGATCCGACCCATTTCGTATTTAGCCCCTTCAGGTGTGGAGTGTTGACTATTGAAATTGAGCATGTTGATCTGGCGACATTAGAGAAGTTAGAACAACAAGGGGTGGATTGTCAACCCAAAGCCTCTACTATCCGAATATGCTGCAATTAATGTGGGAAAACAAATTCACCTTTATTAATTGTTTACTTAGATAAATTGCTTCTAGCTTCTCTAATTTTCAAGGCCATTCTCTTTGCAGTCCTTGGAGGCTTAGATCGTGCATTATAGGTTGAGAAATGGGCTCCATTTGTAAAGGTTTACTTCGACTATGTGCCTTTAATTTATAAAACCATCTAGACATGCTTATTTTAAGTTCTTGGACCGCATAAAGAATTGGTTTTATGTGACAATTGCATTGACTATGGCCAACTTGCAATGGAGGTTTCCGAGATAAATGGTAAGTATCTTTTTTCAATTTTGTTACTTCTCTTATCTTTTTGTGTCTTGATCATTGCTAACATGATAGACATTATTTATTTGTTTATTTATTTTTTTTCAAATCCTAAATAAGCTGATTTAAGCACACACTTGCTATTTGCTTGAGCTTGTGGTTTTTCTTAGGTCTATTTTCTAATTATAATGCACATGTGCAGGTCTATGTTGCAAGCAATCTTCAGCTCATTGGTCTCAAGATCTATCTATATGGTTGTTAGACAATCTTCATTGTATTTAACTAAATAAGCTGATTTAAGCACACACTTGCTATTTGCTTGAGCTTGTGGTTTTTCTTAGGTCTATTTTCTAATTATAATGCACATGTGCAGGTCTATGTTGCAAGCAATCTTCAGCTCATTGGTCTCAAGATCTATCTATATGGTTGTTAGACAATCTTCACTATATTTAAAAATAAATTTTGTTTCTATACTTAACAACAAACAGAATACAGAAAAAGTGAAGGAAATGAGAGAGTTTGTTTGATTACAAAAATCAAACTAGAAAATAAAATAAAATAAATAAAATAGATTTTTATTTTGTTACAAAAACAAAATCAAAATCTGAAACAAGAAAAATAATAAAACAGAAAAGTAAATTAATTACTTACCAAATTAATTTTGTTGAACAAATTTTCTAATCAAGTCCAGTATTTAACACTGTGTCCTTAAGATTGATTCGTCCTCTGCGCGGTGCTTTTAGATTATGGACGTCTATCTCCCAGGATAAAATGATCAACTACGAATAATTACAGCACTACAAATTATTCGCACAATAAACACACTTTGTGTTTACACTCTTTTTCACAGAAAATTAAATGCAACAAAATGCAGAGAGAGAGAGTAAAACATAATTGATGACGAAAAATGGAATGAAAAAATCAATTGAGGGACTGCTTATTTATTGATGAAAATGGTGGCTGTTTGGTTTGAATCCAACAGGTATGGCACATGTTCAGTTTAAACTAAACAGATACAAATCTGTTTGAATTTTAAATTAAACAGGTAAGGGTTTTTTGAACTAAATCAGACAGATTTGAAATCTGTACAGACGGAACAGACAGATTTCAAACAGAAGGGTGCAAATTTTCAAACCAAAATTTGAATTCAAACGGTCAAAATTTATTTTCCAAAATTTAAAAAATAAATTCAAATGTTTTTGGCCTAAAAAGATAAGTATTGGGCCGGACAAGCCCAACCTAACCTCACACCACGCACCCGCGCCCCAGCCCAGCTCGCCCGGACGGACAGGCAGCGGCGCGCGTATGTTTATTTTTGGGTCCAATGGGTCTAGCCCAATTTGCCCATAACCTCTCCCTTCCACAAACTTGGGGTGCCCCTTAGGGCCCTCTCCAAGTTACAATCCCATGCCTTATAAACCCACAAAATTCTTCCCACCGAACCAATTTAGGACAAGCCTTTATTCAAACATTAAGGAATTTCTACCAAAAACTCCATTTCCATGGAGCTCGCTTTGGCTTCAATTTCCCATTCACCTGATAATGGTTTTGAGCAACCAAATATTCCACGTAAATCACAACGCAGCATAGAACATGTTACCACTCAGACCCGCCAACTTTGGCGTGTGGGTCCAATCTAAAAAATAGACCAAAGTTAAGGAAAAATCATATTTTCCAATACCATTTCTAACAATCTCCCACATGAATGGAATTTGATGACAACGGAAATGCAACAATATGCAGAATTTGTCAAAAGAGTATAAATCGAAAATATTTTTCATCAGGATAGGTAGTTTTCGGCCTTGAACCTTCCCTAGTGATAACCTATCGGACTTACTAGCTAACCAATAGATGTGATGCCTTGAATTGTTCAGCCGTTTGTGTAAGCCAAGACAATAGATTTCACACAAAATATCTTCTAACACATCGTGGTTCTCACGGTTGTGTTCATTTTGGCCTTGAACGCTCCTGGTTGTTCATGAGTGCTTCTAGAGAATTTATCCTTTTCATTCTGATAGAACCGGCCCCAATTCGACACTCATACAGGTGATTCTTATTGTGAGTATTTCCTTTACACTCGTCTTGATTTTTATGCCTAAATCAAGATATAAGTAATCAATAAAAGCAAAGTTTATCTTTAAACCCCTTCATACAATATATGTTGCAGATATTACTCTCACCGTAGGAATGGGTAGGAAATTTTAAATCTCTTGGTGATTTCTGGTGAGCCACACATAACTTAGTTGTCCCTTTGAACTTAGTTCTTAGGATCTCCAGTCATATAAGTAGGGTTACCATTATGATGACTCTTATGTAATAGGCTTTAATCCCATCCCCTTTGATGAACTATACACTTGCTCTTTTGTCAAACCTTTTGTTAATGGATCCGCAATATTCTCTTTAAATTTTATATAATCTATTGAGATTATTTCATTTGAGAGCAATTGCCTTATGGTATTATGTCGACGACGAATATGTCATGACTTACCATTATACATATGATTTTGTGTCCTGCCTATTGCAGATTGACTATCACAATGAATGCAAATAGCTGGCATAGGTTTTTGCCGCATTGGAATGTCTTCTAAGAAGTGACGAAGCCATTCTACTTTTTCTCCTGCTTTATCTAAAGCAATGAACTCAGATTCTATTGTGGATCGTGCGATGCATGTTTGTTTCATGGATTTCCAAGAAACAGCAGCGCCTTCCAGAATAAAGACATATCCACTAGTGGATTTTGATATTTAGTATCCGATATCCAATTAGCATCACAATAACCTTCTAGTACTGCAGGATATCGAGTAAAGTTCAAACCATGATCATGGATAAATCTTAGATATCTAAAAACCCGAATGATCGCTTTCCAATGGTCTTCTCCGAGGTTACTAGTGTACCTACTCAATTTACTGACAGCATAAGCTATATCAAAACGAACACAATTCATTAGGTACATTAGGCTTCCAATGATTTGGGAGTATTTTAATTGAGACACCGTATCACCTTTATTTTTCTATAAATAAAGACTGATGTCTACAGGTGTTCTAGCTACATTCATATCATCCTTGATAAATTTACTAAGTATTTTCTCAATATAATGTGATTGAGATAATGCGTATCCGTCAGATGTTTTAGTAATTTTCATTCCTAATATTACATCTGCGACCCCCATATCTTTCATATCAAATCTTCTATACAGCATTTGCTTAATTGATTTGATCATGTTTTGACTGCTTCCAATGATAAGCATGTCATTCACATAAAGACAAACTATGATATATCCTTGGTCAATGTTTTTAACATAAACGTACTTGTCACATTCGTTTATCTTAATCTCATTAGTAAGCATAGAATGACCAAATTGTTCATGCCATTGCTTAGGAACTTGTTTTAATCCATAAAGAGATTTTACAAGCCAACAAACTTTCTTTTCTTGCCCTGGCACTACAACCCCTTCAGGTTGCTCCATATAGAGATCTCTTCATTTAGATCACCGTTTAAGAAAGCTGTCTTAACATCCATTTGATGTATTTCTAAATTATACAATGCTGCAATAGCAATAAGCATGCGAATGAATGTTATTCTTATCACAGGGGAATATGTGTCAAAATAGTCTAGACCTTCCTTTTATCTATAACCTTTTGCTACAAGTCTTAGTTTATACTTGTCTATTAAATCATCTGCTTTCATTTTTCTCTTGAATATCTATTTATATCCAAGAGGTTTAGAACCGGATGGAAGATCCACCAATTCCCAAGTATAATTTTGCATAATAGATTCAATTTCATTATTAACAGCCTCTTTCCACAAAGGTGCTTCAAGACCTGTCATTGCTTCCTTAAAGCTTTGAGGTTCATTTTCTAACAAGTATGTCAGAAAATCTAGATCAAAGGATTTTGATGTTCTTGCTCTCTTACTTCGTCTTGGTTCATCATCAGTTAAATCCTACTAGTCGAGACTATTACTAGTCTTTTGTGTTTGATTGTCATTAGTCTCTTGACTTTGTGTACAATCATAAGTTCTTTTTTATAAACTTAATTCATGTCCTTTCTTGTAAGGAAAGACATGTTAAAAAAACACGGCACTCTTTGACTCTATAATAGTGTTCACATTTATATCAGATATTTCTGATTAATAAGTCAAAAATCGACATGCACTACTATTCTGAGCATAACCAATAAACACACAATCTACTGTTTTTTGTCCTATCTTAGTCTTTTTCGGAACAGGAACTTCAACTTTTGCCAAACACCCCCACATTTTTAAGTATTTGTAGGAAGGTGGCCGATCTATCCACAATTCATAAAGAGTGTTGTTAGTTTTTTTGTGGGGCATTCTGTTAAGAACATAATTAGCAGACAATATTGCTTCCCCCCACAAGTTTTGTGGTAAGCCTGAACTTAATAACATGGAATTCATCATTTTTTTAAGGGTTCTATTCTTCCTTTCAGCAATTCCATTTTGCCGTGGAGAATAGGGTGCTGTAGTTTGGTGAATAATGTCATGTTGTGCACAAAATTCATTTAATGGTGTATCATATTCACCACCCCTATCACTTTTAACCATTTTAATGATTTTACCAAGTTGATTTTCAATTTTAGTTTTGTAGAGTTTAAACATTTCCAAAACTTCATCTTTACTTCTAAGTAAATATACATAACAATATCTTGTGCAATCATCGATAAATGTTATGAAATACTTTTTGCTTCCTCTAGTTTGAACAAATTTAAGATCACATACACCGGTATGAATTAATTCTAGAAGTTCGATTTTTCTTTCAACCGATTTAAATGGAGCTTTAGTTAATTTCGCTTCTACACAAATATCACATTTGTAATTAGGATCAATTTCAAATTTTGGTATATAATCCAAACCAATTAATCTACGCAAAACATCAAAATTTACATATCCTAATCTACCATGCCATAAATTCGACTCAAGAATATAAGCAAAAGATGTGTTATTCTTATTAATAGCAAGTTTTGGTACAACCGTCATTACATTTAACTTGAAGAGACCATCACTCATGTATCTCTTACCAACATGCATACCACTCTTTGTTAATACAAATTTATCAGACTCAAATACAAGCCTAAAACCATTTTTACTTAACAAAGAACTAGAAACTAAATTCTTCCAGATGTCTGGCACATGCAGTACGTTGTTGAGGGTAAGTTCTTTCCTTATGTCATCTTCAATATCACCTTTCCTTGCCCAGCTACAGTAGAAGTAGAAGAATTTTTCATGAAAAGTTGTTCACCATTTGCAGCCTCATTATAAGTAGTGAACATCTTCTTGTCTGCGAAAATATGTCGAGTTGCCCTAGTGTCAACCCACCATTCCTTGGGATTTCCAATCAAATCAGCCTCAAACACCACAACAGAGAGATTAATGTCATTTATCCCGTCAGAGATGTAATCGAATTCCG